TCTTCTTCCCAGTCCTCGCTTTCCTTCAACCTGGCCTTCGATGATATCACTCATTAATCCATTCCTTCTCATAATATGTCCCAGCCAGTTAGCTTTCCTTCGTGTAATCGCCTGCAGAATGTTTCTTTGCTCGTTGACTCTCCTCAATACTTCTTCGTTAGAAAAAAATATAACACCAGAGAAAGATAGTACAAGGATTATGCTAGTACAAAACAAATTATACTTACATGAATTACCTAGTGTATTACCCTTCCCTCATCATTATACAAAACAACGTTGAAGAAAGTAAAATTTCAAATACTTTTCTTACTGCAAAAGGTGCCCATAAATTAAATTAACACATATGATAATGACTGAGAGACATGGCAGATTTATATATTTTGTACTTATTACCTGCAGATCCTGGACACAAGTTGCAGGTGCTGTAACAACACGTAGCCGACCGAACGTTGTCCCTGATTTGCGTGCCTGTTGCTGGTTTTGATTGGTGCCTGAAGTAGGCGTGCTTCCTGCCTTCTTGCCAGCATGCTGATGCTGCTGCGTGTCCGAATTGCTACGAGCAGATGCCATCACTGCATCACCCTCGTAATCCACCGCTTTATCAGCCGCAGGAGCGACAGGTGAAGGCGCGTGGTGATGATGGAGATGCGGATGTGTCTCTGGTGTGGGGTCCACCCCTGCCATCGAAACTGCTCGACGCTGTACAACCTGTTGTTTCTTTGGTGAGCCTGGTGATAGAGATTGGTTAGACATCTTTACAAATCAACAGATAAAGCAAACCACACATTGCTATATAACACAAGTCGATGTTCAGACAGGAAGTGTCTAGTTGTAGTTATGATTCAGCCTCAGGCAATAATAAATTCTTCGACCAATTATCTATCGCACAAAACAGCATTAAAAATGTACTAATGTTACACAGAATAATTTTGATTTTATGATGCAGTAATTTGGTATGCTGAATATCAAATGGGTTAGGTACAATACTGTTTCTGCTAAAATTATCAATATATCTGAGATTGTCATAAATGACCTATGTTATATATATATATATATATATAGGCAATCAGGAAAATCACCCAACAGCACTAGTGGTTAGTTACTATCCATTAGTGGGAACCATTATTTAACCCTTGTAGTTCCAGAGATGACTATGCTGACAGTAAAATGACTTGCACAACTGATCATCACTCTCTTAACTGTCCACAGTTTCTGACTACTATTAATACATATCTGCATATGGTGTAGGGTAGTAGAAGAAGATGTGTTTAATTCATAAATGTATTATAAAATGAAATTATAATTAACATTTTAAAGACTGAAACTGAGAAAGCTTAAATCCTTGTCTGAGTGACACTTCACACTCCGAAGTCTTTATGTTGACATAGTAGTAGGTGAAAATTCTAAATTCTGTCTATATAGTGTGTGTTTGTGGACCCTTTCTGGCGACCGTTTTATCCTACCTTATAAAGCTTTGTCAAAATAAAATTAGGCAAGACTTAGCATTTGCCAGAAGAGGGCTTGAAGGCTCACAAATGAGAAGAAAATAAACTTCATCCAAACACAAGACTATCAATTATTTATTCTCCCGCTCCTGATAATGCCTACAGTGCAAACGAAGATTCTATGACTTTTTTATTTCTCTGAAGGAGGAGAAACAGTACTTACGCTAATGCTGATTTGAGTCATACCACATATTTTACTAAGTTCATAATTTTAGATATTCAGCACTGTTGTATATCACAATGCAACAAAACAGTCTTTAAGGATGGAGCATTATCCACAATATAACTTATATCCATGGACAAGAAAACGTGTGGGTTATTTTCATACTTATTAATTAGAATACCAAAACTTTCCATTCTGAATGCTGAGTAAAATTGTTATTAGACATATGGTTCAAGTTGGACAGGACATTTAAAAATTTATATTATATTATGTGTGAAATACAAGGTGGTGTAGATTACACAAATCTGCAATACTTGTACGTAGACAAAACAACTCACCTTGCAAAAGTTGTGTGTTCGTATCCAGTGGCTGGTTTGAGGCTTGTGTAGCAGCCAGGGTAGCATTGCAATTCTTGTCTATAACTAGCTTGTCTCCTCGGTCTCGATTTGTCTCAGTCACCAGGGGGGATGTCGTTTCCTGATGGAGGTTGTGACATCGTCTTCGACACACACTTTCATAGTCAAGCTGCGCCTGCCAGTGCATACCACAATTAGCTGCCATCCTAGTACAGCATATTCACCAAGGAGATAACTGGTTAAAATTTTCTGTCTTTATTTTTGGGTGACGATATTGTGCTGTGTTGCCTTTGAAGACTATTAAATTTTCCCAAATGCTGTCAAATCAGCTCATGGAATCATCACACAAAACTAAAAAACACTATATTAAAACAAACCTCCATGAAAGCCATAAGACTAAGTATTCTATTAATAAGGAAATTTAATGTTGTTATGGAACTCTGAGGTTCATCAGCATAACCATAGAAGCCAACAATTAGACTGTCCTGAGTCAATTCAATATCATCCACATAATTATAACATATTTCCCTTAATCCCATTTTGATATTACCCTTCCTTTAACATCCCATCCTTCTGTGCAATTATCATTACTACACATCTTAATCACAGCTAATTTCTGGATTTAAACACCTTATGATAGTAGATGAAAAATACATAAAACTATAAGTTAGCCACAACTGTGGGTAGAATAAGTGGCCACCTTCATGCTCTAACAGCCCTTCATTTTGGGAAGAAAGATCCAGTATCCCAGAATAAGAGCTATATGTATCCCAGCATCATGGATGTAGTGGTGAAAAGACAACCCATTTCCAACGAGTGCAAGACAACAAAGGTCATTCTCTTTTACAGTAAACTCTCAATTATCCAAGGGAAGATTAACCAGCATCTATCACGTTTAAACAAAAATCAAAAATTAATTTAGAAGATCTGCAGTAAAAGTTAGAATGTTTAAAAAGAAAGGAATAAATATATCAATTACATATTTAAAGTATTAGCATAAATCAACTGTTGATAAAACCTGAATTTTATGACAACAGAATGTTATTACTGCCCACTGAAATCCTTTTTTTAAAATAGCTTGCATGTATTGTATTCAATTTTATATAGAATCCTTTCTGTTATTAGTAAATCTTTAAACATTTAAGTAACATATGTATATAAATAAACTTATATATTTGTTACATTTGCATGTTTATCTTCCACTTTTGTGGATTATATAGGGTTTTGATTATCCACAAAAATATATTTCCCAACAAATTGAGATAATCGAGAATCTACTATATAAAGAATTTCCTTCTTAAATTTTTAATCCATAAGTTACAGAACAATCCAAAAACTCTTGTACCAATAATAAACCGTAACAATACCAATCTGACCTCAAGTTCCCGTTTGTTGTCCGGCTCAATGTTCTCCTGGTTGTTGTCAAGGCTTGTAATGAGGTTGTCCTCCACAAGGTTGTCAGTTATGCGAGTAGCTCCCAGGATGCCAGTTACTGGTCGACTGAGTATGGCAGGTGACGTGGTGGCTGCAGGAGGTACCGCATTGTCTGTTACAGAAGTTACGTTCGGCACCTTTTCCCAGTCGTAGGGGTCCGATTCTTTAACTCCTCGACGCTTCATGCAGCGCTCAAACAGGCCGATCAACATCTGAAAAGAATTTAATTTTTTTTAGGACTATTATTGTTTAATTATATAAAAATCTATACACCTAATTCTGCAAAGTAATAGAAATTATGACTGGAAGCACCTACTGCGGTGTTCTGCTTCCATGTATTGTTTCTGTCCTGTGAATGCCGACGATATCCGGAAGTGAACATGTGGGGTTGGTGTTTGGCAAGACTGTCATATGGTGGAAAGCATTATTTCTTGGTCATAAAATTCCTTTATTAATGTAATATGAAAAAATAATAAAAGACACTCTCTCTCCAGACATTTCTGTAATAGTAAGGCAATGCTTAAAAGATCTAAAATAGCAATGGTTTTGCTGCCTAAATATGCACTAGTTAAATCACTATTTGTTATAAGAAGCCTGTAAAATTACTCTTTCAACTATGATACGGGCTTTCAATATTTAAAATACCTATGGCCTAACTCACCCTTATCAACTTATGGGCCACCATGAACAATTTATGAAAATTTTGTTGCAGTTTATTAAACATGATAGACAAACAGGTTTACATATTATTAATTTTTTTAACAAATTTGTTGATTTATAATTCTCATTAACTTCTCATTTACAATTACGCAGTTATTACATGGTAACTATTTTCTCATCATGCACAGTGATAAAATATTACAAAAATGTAAGAAAGATAGTAGGCAAAACTAGAAGACAGAAATAAAGAGGTAAGAAAAGCAGTTAATTTATACTATTTGACAATAAATTACAACAAAGTTTGTGGACAAAATATAATATTTTTTGGTTGGTAATGAGAAATTAATGAAAGGAGACAGCATAATCAAAACGGAAAATGAAGGCATATTGGAAAGAAGACTTGAAAAAACTGATGGAAGAAGCAAGTGGAAAGAAGAGACACAACTTAAAATTGCAATGACAGACAAGGACAGATATTTATCTCAAGTCTGACCCTCATTAAGAAGACAACGTAAGAAAGTAAAAGTCATGATGCTAATTTGTATAGGAACTGCCACTAACAAGAAGCAAGTGTAAGCTATTTGTGTTTCTTGTTTGTTCTATTTTTAAGTTTGGACTTCAATTGTCACCTGATGTGTTGAAGATTTAAAATTCCACTGCAGTGAAAATCGCTATACATCAATCAGCTGATCAACTGACTACTTTGTACCCAAGGTGATATCCACTTACAGCATAGTCAGGTTTGTCTGCATATTCTAGTGACTGTATGTGGTCCAGGAACTGTCGTAGGTCCGAAGGCAAGTGTTTCAACAGTAACCGATGATCATACTTCTCTTTCATTAGGCCAACCTGCAACCAAAAGTAACATATCAAAAGAATGTGTATAAGAATCATATGATCACATTTCTCTGTTAATTTGGACATTACTTGCCTGTTCCTTGTCTTTGATCTTCCTCCATGGCAACTGTCCATTCACAAACTCTACCAGCATGTAGAACAGAGACCACAAGTCGTCATGACGACCCATTTCCTGCAGCAATTCAAGAAACAACTGATTCAGTATCTAAATGATATCATGGACTTCATGAATATTAATACAAACATACAGAATAAGAGAGAGTATTTGCAACATGTAAATTTACGTGTCTGTGGAACTACGGGCATGTCAGTTTACAAGAGTAGAAAATATTTTTAACTTGAAAACTTTTACTTTACAATAAAAATAGCATAAGTAACAATGACAATAAACAAACAATTATCTACGATGCCTAAAATCTAACACGAGGTCTTTCCAGAACAGTATATTTATCTGACTATTCAAGAATGTGCCATCAATAAACCTAAAGGTTCGTCCTTGTATGCACAAGAATCTGCCTTTCAACATGCATTGAGACAGTTCAATCTAGTTTTCATCCTCATGGTGATAATTAATTTATTGTTTTACCTATGAGTGCTGCAAAATCAGTTCACCTGAACTTACAAAAATAATTACCCTAACAATAAACAATATATGAATATGAAGCACAAAGTTCCTCCTAAGTGGGCCAAAATGTTTCCACCCACTATCAGTATATGAACAATTGGACATATCAAAAGATTTTAATTGTAAACAAAGTTCTTGAAGTTGAAATATAATCTATACAAAATGGTACCATTCACATTTATTTGAATTAGATCAGACTTAAATTTAAAGCTCAGTGGAGCAAAGAACAATGAGAACAGTATAACACTGACTTTGTTTTTGTGAGCATTAATGGAGGCATAGCGCACAGTGCCTCTGAAGCCCGCTGCAGCACGAGGGGCACGCACTTCTCCCGTAGCTGTCGTATACTGACGAGCCAGTCCAAAGTCCAACATGTATACTTTGCGAGCATTGTGTGGAAGCCGACCAACAGAAAAGTTTGACTGCAAATTACAATACGGATTACTTAATGTGGAAGCTACTGGTTCACAGTACAACTATACTAGCAAGTAGGAGAGCAATAAGAACATTACATTAGTAGTTGTGATAAAAATTTGTCAGTGCCAGGGTAAAAGGGTATAAGTCCACAAATTACAACCAAAGTATGACTGCTACTTTATAGCCTATACTTCATACTACCTGGAGTACAGAAAAACTATAAATTCAGCCATACGTTCGTGTGTAAACTGTATAAACAGATTTCTATGAATATTTGGAAAAATGAATAAGCATGATCTGAGAGAACTTTCTGAAAACTGTTTTTCATTTTCTCAACTTCTAGGACTTATACCCTGATACTATCAAACTTTATTCCAACATTTCAGCAATTCATGGCCAGCACCATTAGATTTTTAATTCCAATAATCATACAGTAATCCTCAAACATCTCCATTTCATAGATGGTTGTCTTCTGGGTTGTAGCACTGGAAGTCTGCCAGTGCTTCAGAGGTCCTTACTGCCTCCATCATCAGAGCAATGAGTAAGCCACACGTGTGGAATCAGTTTGAGACATAGCAGCCAATCCGTTAAGGCAGAACCTTGATCGGTGGACAAGGAAGAAGGGGTTTAGGATTGGGCGAGGCCCGGGAGTCAATAAGAGAGGGAGGAATACTACGGCATGACCAGGAGGGGAAAGGATATGCAAGAGAGAGAAGTTAAAGGAAATGGCCCTTATAAGAGTCCTTCAGGGTCTGACAGGTGGGTCACCAGACATAAAGAAGTGCAGGTAGATGTGATGACGACGGGGATAGAATAGAATAACGTGAGAGATCAGTGAGGGCCGATTGGTGTCCTGAAAAGGACAGTGGTGTCCTAATGGCCAGGTTGGGACTGACAATGCTGAATTGGAGGCCGTGAGGACCTCTGAAACAACTGTCTTTATTTTCTGGGCTAAAGCAGCAATGCTGGAAAGTGGAGGGATGCTTGGAGACTACCTATTAGCTCGTACCTTTCACCCTCATTCCTCATCTCTGGCCCCCTCTCAGCCTTCCCTTCTTCTAAACCTACATAAATCCATCCACCTCCCAGTATTGCCACTTCAGCCCTGAAGAAGGACAGAGTACATTTCTCCCAAACATTAGCATCCACCTACATGGCACAAAATTCATAACAACAACCACATCATCATCATCATCATCATCATCCATAATGAAAAATTCATATCTAAAAAAAGTCAGACATGTTACAACTGGGATAACATGGCAAGTTCATTTCTTTAAGCATAATTTACCAGAGATTATTCTATACCAAGTTTTAATATACCCTGAACCTGAACGAAAAGGGCACAACTAGCACTAGTATTGTTTAATGATGTTACCATAGCTGTACATACGCCACAGAGCACATCTAGGACCAAGATATTGAACACAGATGAACTTGTACAGATTTGTGTTTGAAACTTACAGGCTTAATGTCCCTGTGTAGGAAGCCAACTTGGTGGATGGAGTCTATTGCACGGAGAATCTGCAAGCCAAGACGGAGTGTGGTGGAAAGAGAGAAAGCGCCACGGGGTTGGGCCCTGCGGAGTTCAGCCAGATTCTTCCCCTGCAGCTGCATCACTACATAGTTGAATCGGTCATTGCGGCCACAGCCGATGAAGCGACATACATGTTCCTTTCCTGAACGTAACAGGTCACAACATGTAAGTCTGTCACTAGCGTGTTCCATCGAAATAACGAATACAAGGGTTAACACACAGAATTTCAGGGGTTGTTATCACTGCTAACAGTCACCACTCACTTCCACCCTGTCATTTACGACTAAGTCTCAGATTCAACACCATTAAAGTCTGCCACAGACAAGATGCTGAGCTGAAGATGGCCGTCTTCTGGGTTGTAGCACTGTATAGTCTGGTAGAAGTTTACCAACGTTTTAGAGGTAACTGTAATGAATCATCATCCTGATGATGGAAGCAGCAAGTATCTCTATAACACAGGTAAACTTATACCAGACTACAAGGTGCTACAACCCAGAATACAGCAATCTTCATAATCTTAATATTTTCCTCTTATCTCTTCAGTCCTTGACTTCACTGTTATTTCCTCAGACTTAGAGAACTACATTGCACAAATTACAAAATAACTGGCATAATTATTCCTATTAGATATATATCTTACATTGTTCTGAAAAGTTCACAGAATAACAATTTTTTTAAAATTAAAGTGAACAAACATTCCTTGAATTTATTATTTTCTTAGTGTAATAATGAATCCCATTTCTCTTTGTACTGTTATTTCCAGATATTCAAAATTTCAACCATGTACTATGACTGTTGCAGATTTTGGTGTTGTGATTAGCTCATACATTTACTTTATCTATATTTAATTTCATGCCAATTTCTTCGGTAACCTGTAAAGGAATTTCTACATTAAACCAACATGGAAAAACAATCCATGATTTATTTACTTGTACAATAAAATGTCTTGTATTTTAGGTACAGTAAGCTTCAAGAGCAACACACTATGTTTTGTCTCAGTATTACAGAAATACAAAAAATGGTATGCAATCAGGTATCATGTGAGTATCTTGCTTACAATATGAACAAAATTCCAAACAATTAAAACATATTGGGTCTACCGGGATATCTTTAACGTTGAATTTGTTTCTAAGTTGCTGGACATGTCAGATATAAAAACAATAAGAATCCTAAGAAAAATAAGCAACAGCAGACAGACCTCAGCTTGTAATCTTTCTACTTGGGGATGGACATGGGACTAACAATTCTCATCATCTAATACTTCTTTGTTACAAAATTTGGCAGATTTGTTGTACAACTGAGGCAAAACCTTGGAATGAGAAGTGCACGTTGTTGAACAGCAAATATAAACTATGCTTTCCAAACAATTCAACGTACTTTATCTAAAGAATCAGTTAAATGGTTTACAAATTTTGGGATAAATATACTATTTTTTTGTGCTACAGGGCTGTGATAATGATAGCAACAATAAAATCTTTCAAAGGCATCTGAACTTACCTTGCAACTTCTTCAGTACGGCAACCTCCATCTTCAGTACCTGCTTGGGCTGTCGAGCTGATTCTACCTTCAGAGCTACTTGCTCTTTGGTCACGAGGTCTAGCCCTTCATAGATCTCTCCAAACCCTCCACCTCCTATCTTACGAACCTATGCAGAGACACATACAAGCAACCAGTAGAGCACAATTACTAGTAATACAAAGTCATAGCATGTGTCATAGTGGTCATATAGCTCAGTCAGTATAGTGACTGGCTAAGGGCTGGACGACCGGGGTTCGATCCCCGACGGGCAGAGGATTTTTCCTCTAGTCTCTGCGTCCAGACCAGCTCTGGGGCCCACCCAGCCTCCTCTACAATGGGTACCGGGGTCCTTTCCCGGGGGTAAAGCCGGCCGGGGCGTGATGCTGACCACTCACCCCCATCTAGTGCCGAGGTCAAGGAAGAGAGGAGCTATACCTCCTCTCACCCCAAACGCCTACATGGCGTATAGTGGGACAAACTTTACTTTACTTTACTTACATAGTGGTCATACTGTGAAATGGCTGACATTATGAAATAATGTACATGTACCAAGCTCTACATAGGAGCCGGGATAGCTCAGTCAGTATAGTGACTGGCTAAGGGCTGGACGACCGGGGTTCGATCCCCGACGGGCAGAGGATTTTTCCTCTAGTCTCTGCGTCCAGACCAGCTCTGGGGCCCACCCAGCCTCCTGTCCAATGGGTGACGGGATCCTTTCCCGGGGGTAAAGCACGGCCGGGGCGTGATGCTGACCACTCATCCCCATCTGGTGCCGAGGTCAAGAAATAGTAGTTGCTATACCTCTACTCCCCTGAAATGACCTAGATGGCGTATAGTGGGGCAGCTTTACTTTTTACCAAGCTCTACATGAAATTTATAAAATGTTTACATTTTCAAGAACACCAGTATGTGGCAGGACCACTGGAATCACTATATTCTTTGAGGAAGAGACTACTTTGAAGGGAATTAACTTGTATATGAGTTCCCATCAGCTAGTGCGCAACAAAGGAACGAACTGGTTACCCAGCAGCCCTGAGGATGAGAACAGAGATTGTTCTCGAAACGTCGGCAGAAGATATGGTTTATTCACCTATCAGCCACCTGATGCGGCTTGTAGCCCAAGAGTCTTTCATCACAATGTTTTTTTCTTTATTATTATGTTACCAATGATTATTTTGTCATTATATACACACAAAAAACCATATTTATGTATATGTATGTTAAAAATTATTTATGACAAATTATCATATGTAAGTCTGCAAGGAAGTTCTTATTTGTGACTTTAACATAATTATGTAAAGTGTGCATTTCACAAATTTCTGATGCGCAGTTATACCTTGAACATGAAACACATGTACAAAATAATAAATAAAAAAATACATTATGTGTGTGTGTGTGTGTGTTAATCAATAAGATTATACAAGTATCTTGTTAAGTAAATTCCTCCAAATCATAATTAATTTCTCTCAGACTTATTCTAGGCCACGTGTTTGTTCATTTTCTATTGCCATCTTATCATTCAAGTCACTTCCTTGTGGATCAATCTTCATTAGATGAAGTCTATTCATCATATGACTCATTAAAGCTAACACATGTCAAAATTGGACAACCAGTTCAAAGGTGTGTCAGTCTGTATGTAAATTGTTCTGCTGGCCTTGAGCCAGCAACCAACACTTAATGTGTAATGCCAGTTGAAACAGAAGAACACAGAATGAGTCACTACCAGTCACGCTCATAATCTCATCTCTCAAAAGAGGAAGTTCTTTGATAATGATACTTTGGGTGAGACAGTCACAAATACCAGACAGCAGAATGTACTATGCATATTCATCACAGCTAGATTCAGAAGACTGGTTCTTACAGAACTGTGACCATTACAGTTGAATTGTCATTGATTTCTCCCACATTTGTTGCCCCCAATTTAGTCTCTAGTAATCTGCAGAGTGGGCATAAGCTCAGCACCAGACTCCATCCTGACCTAGTTCAAGCCTGTTTACATCCCCATAACACAAGTAACGACACCCTTGAATACGAGTAACATGCCATGCATAACCAAAGGGAAATTATCACAGTTGGTTAGCGTACTTACAACACATTTCCTTAATCCATTCGAACATTATTCTCCCATCTCCATATTAAACTTTAAAGCAGATACTTTCTAAGAGATTTCCCAATGAAATTTCTGCATGAATTTCTCATTCCCATCATCTGGGCTTCGTGTCCGGCCAAATGTAACTTTCTTCATTCAACTACTACATCAACAGTGGGAGAACTGTATACACCACAAAAATTCCTCATTATAGTCACATAATGCTTTACATACATGTCATTAAGCTTACTGTGTTCAAATAAAAAATATATTATAAATGGCAACATAACCTAAACTGGCAGGAATCATTTTACTAACTCCATGTCATTTTGTTTTCCCTGAGAACTTGATAGTTATTCAGTTAGTCAGGAAATTCTATTTTTATGTCATCCAAATGATCACAACCACATTCACAAAATCCTGCCCTTAAAGAATATATTGTGTCACCTCACTCTAATTTACATATTCACAACGTATTTCTGGAAGATTTTGTTTACTGTTATATACACCTATATCTCCCACACAGTCCACCCTTCTGAGGCTTTCATCACTCCGCTTGTCATGCAATGGAACATCAATCCACTACTTTCTTCACTGAAAGAATTTTTACACGGAATTTTCGAGTGATTACTCAGAATACCGCCAATGGAGGCATTGAAGTGCTGCAAGAACATATATAAGCTCTCAGTTTCAAGTTCACATATCTGTATTTTTATTTAATAAATATAGAATAATCAGTTGGCTCCACGATAATTGTCTCCCACATCCTTAACTTGATCAGCTGTTTTATAGTTAGCCCAGACTCGACTAAAGTCTGCCTGGAGATCCAAATACCCATTTTACAAAAATGCATGAGACCTTGGTAAGGTTTAACAAGCTCCAATGTACTGTCTAACCTTCTGGTAGGTTCAGAGATCAGTTTTTAACGTTGAATAAAGTTCATAAAATCTTTTAACGTTGAATAACGTTCATAAAATCACGGAAACTCCGACGGAAACTGTAATACGTAAGGTAACGTTGGTGTGTAACTTCTTCAAAAGCCAATAACTCGAGACCTATGTAAGATAGAGAATATAAACCTATATGTAAATTAAAGAGTAAATAAAGGGCTTTTTCTACATGATGTTTTCTTTATTCTATAATGCATATTTTACACATTGTTGAAATAATTACCCAAAACATGTAATAACTATACCCTCGTTCCTTAACTTCAACAGCTTGCCAGGCCTAAAGCGTAAGAGTTAGATCTGGACATATTGCGAGTGAAATACGTAAATAAACACGAGTTTTTCAAATTTGCAAACAGATTTCAGCTAACTCTTACGGTTTGGGAGTTTTGGCCACTTATTTGGTAACAAAAAACGGTTCTAGAGTGTGAGTGTGTTGAGTACATGACACAACACATAGTTAAGCTGTCGGCGGATACGTCACGTATAGATAAGATGTAAAGGTATTATATACATTAATGTGTAAATAAAATTTTATTTCAGTACAAATATACTTCTACAGTTAAACGTTATTCAACGTTAACTAGGGAACCGTGGTTCCACTGTTAGTTTTTTATGATAAACTACAATAAAGAAGTCAAACTCACCACTTTCCAGCGTTCTTTGACCACGTGGCCAGGCTGAAGCAGATCTTCGCTTGTCATGGTGATGTTATTGTTCTGATCTGTTGATTCGTCCCCTACATGGTGCAGTGGGGCCTCTTGCTTCCTGAAACAGAGAAATATGGGAACATTACAGAACAAGATTTTCAGAATGTTATATAAGAAAATTAACTTGTTACTCATGACAATTATGGACTGAAAAGGTGAAAATGTAAGATACGAGAACAGTAGTAATTGCTTCATCTTACAGCAGACAAAGATTTTTACAGTCATAAAATTTCCTTTTACTTACCTTAAATACTAAAGACATATATTTTCAATCATACACAAAAGGGATCAATTATCTTGTTAACACTATATATATTGATACCATTCTGAAGCTGATACTGTGATAATTTGTTTTAATTTCCACTACCACAGACAATAAATATGGCAGAACATCCAAAATATAGGTAGAATGAGTAACATTAAGGTTAAATATACAATTTCTAATGCTGTACGTAAGTTCTATTCTGTTGCTCTGTTGTAAATTTTATTTTTATATTCACAATTTAAGCTTTCCATTCAGTCCAGTCAAAACAAAATTTCTGGAGCAAGAATTAACCATGTCATTAAATGACAATGAAACTGAAAAAATTATCTGACCGTGATCTTGAATTAGTCACGGCTTGGATTTGAAGAACCCTGGAATTGCAATATTGTCAAAGCAAGTTAATTCTTAAGAGATGAGATGAGATGAGGAAAGCCTTTGGGTTGTTGGCCAAAACGTAAATAAAAAAGTTGTCAGTGGAACCACGGTTCCGGAGAATTTGACGTAAATACGTCTATACGGAAAGGAAGTTTATATATTGGCTTTATTCTAAATATTTCCTTTATACATGCTTTACAATTGAGATAAGTTTGATTAAAACATTGCTTAATCAACTTGAATTAGTTATGCTTAAGATGGGTCTGTGGTAGCTGAAATATGTTATCTATACAGGATTTTGATCTAGCAGTACTACATTGAGGATTTGACATCAACATTAAGCCATATATTCTGCGTTATGGAGCTTCAATGTCATCCATCTTGTACATAGTATGACGCAACAAACTAACGCAACAATAGATTTCTTAATAATTCTTATATAAGATAAGTACCTATGATATTCTAAAACGTTTTTACCAGCACAAAATTATCTAATCTACGACGCACTTTTTCTACAACCGATTCACAGCAGAGCTCTTTCCACAATGACGAAAGTAATGTAACACAACAACGCCAAGTAAACAGATGACGTTTCCTAGGTAACATAACAATGCATGAAAGCTGATCATTGTTGTCAGTCCATATTTACAAATTGTTGATATTTCCTAGATAACCATCTTACACATTTTCCTTCCACTTTTGCGGAATGACCCTTCCATATAGACGTATTTACGTCAAAATTTCACGTACCCCTAAGATGTCTTCGCGTACCCCAGCTTGAATACCACTGATCTAGAGAATTGCTGTCTGTATCATCTTTATCATAATTTTGAATTAAAATGCATTCATGTTAATATGTTTCACATATTCACAAAAGTCAGAGACAAGGTAAACATAAAAAACCAGAACAAATTGAACAAGACCCTGTCTTGAGTTACACTATGCACGGTCGCTGCTCCAGTAGAAACCATCTGGCTCTCATGTAACCTCTAGTAAACATAACGACAGTGAGATCCGATATTCTTACACTTCACTCCATCAACCGTTTGCTACAATGAAGTATAAATTTCCCTGTAAATAAATTAAAAATAACCCAGCAGTTTATTATTTCGGTTTTTATCTCTTCAAAACACAATGTTTCTTCCTCAAACTGTTTTGAACCCCGGCCTATTTTACTGACGTTACTTAACTCACTGAGAACTTAATAATTTACATTGCCTTCATGACGGAATATGAAGGCAAAGTCTTTCTGAACTTTGCTCCATTGCATTATCTATAATTATACCAATGTCAAGTTTCATATTTGTTATTCTCTTTAGCATTTAAACTATTTACATAACCACGATGTACTACCATAAAACTTCACACGTCTTCGGGATCCCCTTCTGCAAGCCTCACAACATGGCATCATTAAACACTACCAAAAGCATTATGTAATCCACTTCAGTTTCCGTCCCTTCCAAAAGTGCTGAACCATGATCAAGATACATATTTTAGGTTATCAAACGTACATAGTAATGACATTCTGTTCCATCCATTATTATTAAAGCACATATGCACACACACTTGGTAAATATGAAGATACCTAAAGAGTTATAACATTTTCAGGTTCATTAAAATATATGTTTTTAAAGATAATTCAAACATTTCTCTGTCTCCCCTCTAACCAGTTCAAAAAATAAAGGTTTAATTTATGCTTCTTAGGAGACATACTTTAGCACACGATTACAATGAGGTGCTATAAAAAAGTTGTCAGTGGAACCATGGTTCCGGAGAATTTGACGTAAATACGTCTATACGGAAAGGAAGTTTATATATTGGCTTTATTCTAAATATTTCCTTTATACATGCTTTACAATTGAG